CTTCTGATTTATCCTTGCTGGAGATAGATGATGCGGGCCCATGATAAACTTCCCTCACAACCTTTTGAAAGTTCTGCTCCATCTTGCAGCAGAGGCCCTTCTCCCCCACAAGCTGGAGGTGAACAGTTTGTGATGAAAGTTCCAAATGACACGGTATATTTAGTTTTTATTGTCTTGAAATTTCATGACTTTTGGTTCAGATTTAATGTGAACATCTCTATATTAGGTATTTGTTTGTGGCTTATTTTCCCCTCGATCGTCTGTCCAAGTTTGTTTCTTCTCTTTTGAAGCGCTCTCCATGCTTCCTTACTTTCCTCTCCATTGAACAGCTCACCACGATTTCCATTGAGGCGCTTCAATGAATGCAGGGAAAGTATTTCAGGCTTTAAGGAAGGCGGGTGTAAAAGTGGCCATTGTCTCAAACTTTGATACCTAATTAGAATGCACTTCATTCATGTCATCATAAAGAGACCCCATTAGAATGCACGTTCTGTTGGTTCCAATTGTCACCACCTTAATGATCCTGTGATATCCTGGTCCTCGATATTAGTTAATAATGTTATGAATCTTTTTATTAAAGAAGAGCCTCTCCTTGGTAACCTGCTTAATCACCTAATTGGTTTCGAATCTGTGCCTACGAGGGTGTTTAGTTGTGATATTGTCAAAAATTCCTCAAATTCCTCAAATTTCACTCCCTTGTAATTGTTGTAGCATCTTGAAGAAACCTCAGAGGTGAATTCGTATCAGGTAACCTATAACATTCGTTAAATTTAGGGTTCTTATTGTGCTTAAATTGGGGAAAACTTGTTGATTAGTTGATTAGGGTTTACTTTCTTTGCAAATTAGGATTCTTTTCCTATTTAATTGGGGGAAACTGAGTGTTTAGTTATTTAGGGTTCATGTTCTTTGCCCAATTTAGGTTTTTTGTCATTGAATTGTTGTTTGTACTGGGTAAGTTGTGTTTGCAATTTGTGCACTTAATTAAGTACTGGTAGTATTGATTGAAGCATGTTTTAAGCTTTTATGTTTATTTGTTGTTGGAATTATTGTGGTAGAAATGGAAGAGAATAAGGTGATTCTCAGATTTAAGTATTTGAGTAGCTTACAATAGTGAAATCGACAAAAAAATAAAATAATTTAGGAGAAAAATAACGACTGTGGGCCCCACACGCCTGAAATCAACAGGAACTTTTAAAAAGGTGGTAATCTGCGTAATTAATTATTTTAGTGGGTGATAATTTAAAATAAAATTTTTAATGGGTGGTTATTTAGAAAACGGAACTATTTTTGGGTGGTAATTTGCAAATTTTCCTAAAAACAATGATAAATCTTGGGATACATCCAAATTTGATAATTATTGTTGCCCCATTGGTAATGGGTGATTAAAGTCACACACTCATATTTTCAAATAATAATAATAATAATAATAATAATAATAATAATAATAATAATAATAATAATAATGTTTGGGTATAAACAATGTGGACCTTCGGATGGTCCTTAGCTGTGGGCCGAAGAAGAGGGCTTGCTCCGATGAGTTGGAACAAGGGTTTCCTGCACAACAAGTACACGTGAACTGGCCTAGGGGGGATTGCCGAGGAAGGCCCCTCCGATGCTTAAGTCAGTGAGTGCTCAACAAGTATTGAGAGAAAATAATTGTGCAAGAGTTTATGCTTGAGGCAATAATTGTGTATCTCCCTTTGAGAATGAGGGCATTGAAGCCTTTTATACCTGATTTTAGGAAAGGTTTGGACCTTAGTGGGCTCAGAGATGAGCTGGGCCTTTGGACCGATGGATTTGGCTGATTTCATAATAGCATGGAGGTCTTTTAGCTTCCTTGACAATTTGTGAGGAAATGATTTTATGGGCTTGGCCCAATTTGGCTAAATTGGACCCAAACAACTTGCCCCCCAGACCCAGCTGCAGCTGAAGGCTGAGGTGGGTTTGAAATTCTGGAGGGAATAAAATTATTTCAAATTCTGAGAAGAATTCAAAATTTTAATGAACCATCATTAGCTTGAGGCCAAAACAGTTATAATTAATGTGTTTTTGGGCTATTTAATGGGGTAATTAAATAGAGAATGTGGGTAGTTTTTTGAGAATTGTGTGAGGGAAGTTTAGAGCGAATTTCAAGGAAAAGTTGGAGAGACTGAAGCACGTGGGCGTACCTGAGTGGGGCCCCAACGGCTACTGAGAACCTTATAAAAGCGCGTCTCCCCTTTCCTTTTTCTCTTTCCGTTCACTTCTTTCTTCTATCCTTTTTCTTTCAGATTTCCTTTATAATTGTCACATAATTTTTCTGCAAATTTGTTCTTTTCCTTTAGAATCCGAGCTTCAAATAGTGATCCGAGGATCGGACTTTGCATTTCTTCAGATTCCGAGTTTGCTGGGGTAATTTTCCTTCAAAATTCCTTCGTCTTTTCTTGCTTTCTTCGTTTTTCCTCTTTTCCGTCTCCACCAGAAATCCCATAAATATGGCCAGTAGAAAGGATAAAGGGAAGGCTATAAAGCGTCCCGATTTGGACGAGGAGCCAGAAGAACCTTCCCAGCTGAAGGTTAGGGTCCGGCGATCCAAACCTTTGCCTGCTATGCCCTCTTTGAGTGGCTATAACAGGACGATTTATAAAGCCCTCCCCCTTAACTCATGGCATCGTCCGGGTGCCGGACGCGTCAGTGCCTTATGGAGGAGGTACGATACTTTTGTCTACGCCGATGGTCAGTGGCTTCAAGAGGAGCAGAACAACGGCATCGTAAAAAACAAACCCTATGACTGGTGGGTAGACGATGATGTTGACCACTTGTTTGATAGGCAAGTGGAAGAATTCTACGGCGTGATGGAGGGAGATGATATTGGTGCAAGGTTCCCTCCAAAACAGACCGTTTACACTTGCCCCCTGACGGTTATACTGCGGTCTATGTCCGCATGTTTGAACATGGGCTTCGGCTGCCTCTGCACGATTTTATAACAGCGGTGTTGATCGCCTATAACATTTCTTTGGCCTAGCTGACGCCGATGAGTATTCGTCGGCTAGTTTCTTTCATCTGGGTTTGTACATTTCTGGGTCACAGGCCCACTCTGGAGGCGTTCAACGGCGTCTGTAAACTGGCCATGAACACCCAATCTGAACAGAGGGGTTGGTGGTCCATCCAGGACAGACTGAGGAAACTCTCGGCCTTCCCTTACGTCTCTTCGGATAAGGGATGGAGAGGCTCCTGGCTGTGGGTTAGGGTTCCCACCAAGCAGTAGCATCCCAATCTCTTTGGGGGCCCGCTGAAGTTCACCAAGCGGGACCCTAGCATGTCGGCTGTTGGGCTTCTGGAGCCGAATAAAGCTGACCAGGAAGTTATTGCCTGGTTCGGCAAGAAGCCTGATAAAGATGTCCAAGGGAATTACAGCCCAACCACATGGCTACCCTGGACGCCCTTCATCTTCAAAGGAAGAGTCTTGGATGTCTGCGGCCTCAGCCGCAAGCTTTCAGGTGCGGTTTGCAAGCTTCAGCCGAGACTATTTGAATTGCTTGTTCATTCTTTATTTTTTTTTATTTGCATCGTCTTGATTTGTATGCTTATTGCAATCCTTTTCCTTTATTGCAGGTGTTCCCGAGGTGTAGTTGCTGAAGGAGAGCGATTACGAGGCTCTGGGGGTCAGATCCACTCGGATCATTGGGAGGAAAGTCCCGCCGAAGCCCTCGGACACGCTCTTCTATTTCAGCGATAAGAACGAAGTCCTCACCAAAGTTGAGGAGCTTGAAGGTCGCCGAGCCTGGGACGAGAAGATTGATCCTTTTGACAATCCCAGTGCTTCGGCTGCTGCTGAAGTTACCGTTGCTGTGAGGGGCAACGAGTCGACCGTTGAGAAAGAGGTTGAGCAGCCTCAGATTTCTGATGCTGAGCTTGTTGCTGCTGAACCTTTGACTGTGGTTCTGAATCTACAGCTTGAACTTGTAAGTCATTGCTTACTTCTAAATTTGTTGTTGTTGTTTTTTTTTTTTTTTTTTTTTTTTTTTTTTTTTTTTTTTGCTTTAAATAAGTACATTGATTGTGGTGTATACTAACACCCTTTCTTCCCCCACATTTTTCTTCTTGTTCCACAGGCCGAGGGAGAGGAAGAAGAGGAGGAGAAGATGACTGTCGAGGCATTTACTGCTGCAGATGTTGCTGTTGCTGAAGCTGTTGCTGAAAAAGCAGCAACTGAAATTGTGGGGGCTCCAATGGCCATGGTCCCTGCATCAACGGAGCCTGAAACGAGTCTTTCGTTTAAGGTTCCTAGGACTGTGCCAAGATAAAGTCCTCACAAGGTTGTAGTGGATCTGAATTCCACTTCCTAATCTGAAGACGAGATGGATAGTTCCAAGAAGAGGAAGAGACCTTCCCTGGACTTGCTGGATGTTGATCTGGAGGAGGAGATCAACAAAAGATTAAAGGCTGATGGAGAAGCTAAGAAAGATGGGGCTTCTGCTGAAGCTGATGCTTCTCCTTCGGTCGAGGTTTTGGCTACAAATGCCATTATCGAGCCTACCTCTGCTAAAGTCATGTCGAATGCTGCTCCTGAGGTTCCCATCCCATCTGCTGATCCAATTCAGCAGGAGCCTGAGGGGGAGAAGGAAAATGAATCTTCTCCTCCCCATTCAGAAGATATGCAACCAACTGTTGCTGCTGGCGAGGGTGACTCGTTCCATGGGAACTTTGAAGAGCTTCATGGCGCTGAAGCCGAAGCTGAAGAAGAGGTTCAGAATGAACCACCCCCTAAGTTCTATGACACAGATCAGTTCATAGCTGGTCCATCCTCGGACGAGGTACATATGGGGGAGCTGCAGATCGAAGAGACTGCAGCGGATTTGGAGGACCAAACTCATAAGGAGGTAAATCTTTCTCCTATTCAGAAGTCCTTCCAAAGCTTCAGATCGTCTGAAATGGGCTTTGTGCCCAATACTTTGGTTCCTGAAAGGGTTAGGAACCTCTTTGCTGATGCTTTGGAGGATGCCGTGAATCCCTTCAACAGTCTGCTAGATGTGCCTATGCCACATAGGGCCAAGGCTTGGGCTCAGCAGACCGTTGCTTTGGATGGCATTCCGTCCGAGGCTGTTGAGAATCCGCACCTCAGATCTCAACGTTTGCTGATGGAGGTAAATTTTCCTTCAGCTGAATCTTTGTATTTATTTTTCTAACTTCAGAAATCTCATTTACTTCCATTTTTTTGGATTTTTTGTGCTGAAGTTTTATTCCTTGCATTCGCAGGTTGTTCAGAGCCAGTCTTTGGCTACTGAAATGCATGAAGAGCTTCAGGCCAGCTACGCTGTGAAGGAGTCTGAGCTGAAAACTGTAAAGGCCAAATCTTGGTAGCTTCAGTCTGAACTTGATGGAGCAAATGCTCGGGTAGCTGAGCTTGAAGCTGAGCTAGTCCGACTAGAAGATGACAGGAAAGCCACTTATGGCCGAGCCTGGAAATCTGAAGTTGACCTCCAGGCTGAAATCAAGAAGAATGCTGCCCTTGCTGAGAAGCTGGCTGAAGAGGCTCGAGCTGGAGAACGACGATCCAAGGTCAACCAGTATCATGCTGAGCAGATCGTGCTTCTTCGTCAGCAGCTGGAGGCTGAGAAGAAATCAAAGGAGGAGGATCTCCTTAAGCTGAAGGATGGGGTTGCAACCCTTTTGAAGGATACGCTGCAGCAGATATACCATCTTACAGACGTAACAGTGTCCAGCCTCAAGGAAGATAAGAGATGCTTGTGGGAACTTTCTCACATGCATCTTGAAGAAGCCGCAATCTGGAAGGCCAAGTTCCTTTCAGCTAATGAGGAGGTCCAGCGCCTTAAGGAATCTGAACAGCTTCAGCAGAAAAAGGTGGAGAGACTGCAGCGAAAATATGACAAGGTCGAAGCTGAATCCGATAAATGGTACCAAGCAGGATTCGACTTCGGTCGCCGATGCTCTTTTCATCTAAAGCCAGACATCAACTGGGCTCTAGCAGAGAAGTGGTTTTCAAACCGTAAAGATCCCCATCTGAAAGAGCCTAGTCGAGTAGAAAAGGATTATCTGGTTGAGAAGAAGCTGAGAGAAAGAGCTGCTGCTGCTACTGAGGCAGCCAAGCTCAAAGAAGCTGAATGGGAAGCCTCCTCTGTTGCTGCTGGGCAACCTTCTGCTGCCGATGTCCCAGCAACCAAGTCAACTGGAGCATAGGGACTCGGGCAGCTATCTACAGAATTCAGCGAGTATTGTAATATAGGTTCAGCTAGTGATGCTGAATCTGGGTGTTGAAATGATGTTGAGTTCTACTTTTGCCTTAGTTTTTGTTTCAGCTTGCCTTCATTATGTACAAAACTATTTAATTCTTTTTGCTTTGTTTGTACGTAGTTTCGACTGCTGTAGAATCCATCTTTGGATGGCTGCCGATGTAGGACTGATTTCATTTCTGAAACTGTCTTCAAAAATTTTTGTAATCTGATTTGCTTCATGAATGAAAAGTTTCCTTAGTTTTGCCTTTGTAATCTGATTTGCCTTAGTTTTTGTTTCAGCTTGCCTTCATTATGTACAAAACTATTTATTTCTTTTTGCTTTGTTTGTATGTAGTTTCGGCTGCTGTAGAATCCATCTGTGGATGGCTGCCGATGTAGGACTGATTGAAACTGTCTTCAGAAATTTTTGTAATCTGATTTGCTTCATGACTGAAAAGTTTCCTTTCTCATCATTGCAGCTTTTCACTTTTTTTTTTGTTCTTTGCTTAAATTTTGCAAATACAAAATCTTTTGTTCTGGATCCGAGCTTTTCTTGACTGGAATTTTCTGAAGTTGCTTTCTAGGACTGCTGAAGGACTGTTTCATCTTTTCAGCTCCTAGTCCCTTTGCCCCCCTCAAAATCCGAAGTAAAATACTTTGGGTTCTGAAGTTATTTAAGACTTGAAATTTTTTTATTCTGGATCTCTGCAGCATGTCTGAACAATGAAGGAGGGTTTTTCCTCATTCTTTCTGTTGTCCGTAGGGCTTCGGCTTGAAGGTTTTCCCTTGTTCCGAAGATTTGTGGGTTCAGCTCAGGTGCCTAAATTATCACCTTTATTGCTGAACCTCCCTGGCTCCTGAGGAATTTGCTCAGATATCCTTTTTGACATCTCTATTGCTTTTCCTTTTTTCGAAGGTTTGCAGGGGTTCAGCTCAGGTGTCTAAATTATCACCTCTATTGCTGGACCTCCTTGGCTTCTGAGGGATTTGCTCAGATGTCCTTTTTTGACATCTCTATTGCTTTCCCCTTTTTCGAAGTAATGGAGTGGTGAGGGTACCCAATTGGGAATTTTCCCTATGATCCATTTTTTGGGGGAGAAAAATAATTTGCTAAGGCACCAAAAATGTACATTTCCTCAGCGCTCTGATGGACCATTCTTCGGATCAAGTAATCCTCAGACTGGCTAAACCCATCAGAACAACTTTTTGGTGTTCAAGTGCCTTTTTCCGAGGGTCTCCGAAATCCTGGGGGGCAAGTTATTTGGGTCCAATTTAGTCAAATTGGGCCAAGCCCATCAAATCATTTCCTCATATTTTGTCAAGGAAGCAAAAAGCCCTCCATGCTATTACTAAGTCAGCCAAAACCTTCGGCCAGAAGGCCCAGCTCATCCTTGAGCCCATTAAGTCCAAACCTCTCCTAAAATCAGGTATAAAAGGCTTCAATGCCCTCATTCTCACAGTTATTGCCTCAAGCATAAGCTCTTGCACAACTATTCTCTCTCACTACTTATTAAGCATTCACTGACTTAAGCATCGGATGGGCCTTCCTCGGCAACCCCCCCCCCCCCCCCCCGAGACCAGTTTATGTGTACTTGTTGTGCAGGAAACCCTTGCTCCAGCCCATTGGATCAAGATCTCATCTTTGGCCCACAGCTAAGGACCATCCGAAGGTCCACATTGAAACAACAACAATAATAATAATAATAATAATAATAATAATAATAATAATAATAAATGAATAAATGGGGCGATAGAAAAGCTAAGATTATCAAAGGTAAGAATATAATTTCAATAGTGAGTACTAAGTATTCTTATAAACTCAATATAAACTGAGAATTGCACAATTGAAAAGTTAATCGCAACACTACAGCAGCAACCCAAAACAATCCAGTAATATTTATAGAGAACTACAGTGGTAACTAATTCTTTAGATTACTGTTTTATAGCAAAAAGTTAATGTGATACATGCACTATTGATATGGAATATTTCTGGATGACAAGATAATTGGAGAATCAACAACCAACTCTGCTTCATCTGCTTCCTCGGTCTCCTTAACCCATATCAACGAACCCGAAACGAGACCAAATGAATACCTTGAAGAATCTGTGTTCGGCAGATATATCGACAATGCAAAAGATTGTTCATCATTTTCACCCTCAAATGTTAATGTATCTGGAACAACCTTAAATTCAATGGACCCAAGAGGCACCTTTATCGTTGCAACACGAAATTTGACCTTAGCAAAGTAGGTACATCGCCCTTTTTCGACACTCCTCAGCTTTCTGTAGAATTTGCAATCCCAACCTTGACTACCGGAAGGAAATGTAGCCGAACAGTATGGCAGATTAAGGTTAAAACAAAATTTATCAAAGTTTCTATGTGGATAGCAATATTTCTCAAAATTATCTGCCGTTTCTTCATAAACTAAACCAGGCCGCATTGCTTTTTCTAGGTTGAAAACTCCAGCCCCATAAGCGAACTCGTATGGAAATAAATCTTTATCATGCAATTTATCAGCTGTATGTATTATAAGACATAAATTAAAGATTGCATAACATAAAGAGTTAGTTGTTTGGTTGAGTGGCTCAAGTCTTTAGTTGAGTGGGTTTAAACTATTTTGATATGTAAATATTGTAAATAAATAAATAAACAAATATATATATTAGAATAGAAGTTAGGCCTTACCAGTAGTCATAGCGGCAGAAATAGTTGCAGAAACTGTGAAATTCTTTTCCACTATAAGCGTAGCAACACCAGAAGCAACCAGGGGAGTGGCAAAAGACGTCCCTGACAAGACGTTGTATTCAAAAAAATAAGGAACCTTGGGGTTTCCTAAAGGCACATCAATTGGCCAACAACCAGCAACATGTTCCCCAGGAGCAGATAGATCAGGCTGCACATTATCAAAGCAAGCAGGATGTTATAAGATACCAATATGTTTTTGTGTGACTACAAGTGTGGAAGCAAAGAAGTGCAAGAGTATTTGAAGGATAAATCTGCAATTTAAGGCCAGGAAAGTTGTCCACTATGCTTTAGAGATTAGATGTCAAAGGGGTAGCACTATGATAGCAGCCCACATTTACCATTAATTCTGCTACTGATAGCTTTCTTATATATTCACACCTGCTTTTGAAAGTGTAGCTTAGCCAGTTATACTAACATGGCAGGAGTAATTCTTGCTGCGAATGAAGGTAGTTTGGCAACTAGATGGGGATTTGAATGAAAATCTTCTACCTTAATCCCCTCCAAACAGAATTACTTTTGGAGGTATTTGACTCTCACAATGACAAACAACGTGTACTGAATCAATCAATCAAATCATTAGTCCCATAACATGTACCAAAAGTAATTATTAAGCAACAATGTGTACTCTTAGAGCAATAGAGCTCACAGCTGATCATGATCTTAACAGAAATCCTTTTTTTTTTTTTAAATGGTCAATGATTGCAGGCCAGGGAGCTCAAGGCACGGAAGTAGAGTTGATATATATGGACTTGGAGAGAGTACTAAAAACCTACTGATACTTAATGTCAACATGACTCAGATACTTCCCCAAACCTTGTCATTGTTTAAACATTTATATGGTAGATTGTAATTCATTATTCTCAGAGATAATATTAATAGATTCAAAGGCCCTTTGTGATAACCTTTCATACTAATAACTCAAATTACCTTCATGAACTCTGTGAAGAAACTGCATGGTCCACGACCAGAAAACTCAGATACCAAAGGTGTATCAATAACAAGTTCCCTCAACGAGGCTTTGATAAAAGCAAGTAGATTCCTTCACAGAATGAAATATAATATTAGAGATGATACAATGATACACTTTAAACATCAAAAATATAGGAAAATGTTGTATAGTCAACTATTAAAACTAATGATAAGCTCCAACTACAATTGCCTAGGCCAATGGGTTGGGGTCCTCTAGAGTTTTAACATAACTCTACAATGTAGATCTCTCCCCATCCCAACCATAGAGCTTAAAATCAAAGGCTCATATTGATAACAATATGAAAATAAGGGGTAGGTTTTGGTGAGGAACTACAGGGGGAATTTTCAAAATTTGATTTTTTAATCAATGGTACGGTTAATATTGTTAAAACTTTGTAGATAGTCTTCGAGAAATCAATCATTTTCATATAGAAAACTATTTTCATAATCAACTAATCACACTTATATACTATATATTAAACCTTCTCTTTAGAAATGAATCCAACTATAAGACTCGTCACATTTAAGGTAAAGTTATGATTTTAACTAAAAAATAGTGAACGACAATAATTTAAACCTATAAAAACTAGATTTTAAACAGTATATACATACCCTTCTTGTGCAGCAACCAATTCAAAGTAATTGCAAAGTATATTGCTGGTCTCTTTTGTAATTTGTACGAGCGGCACTTCAGTTGGGTAATTGTATTCCATTGAGGATGGTCTTATCACAATATAATCATCCTCTATAACCATGATGCATTTTCTATTTTTTATATCACCATCCGTCCTACAATAAAAACTTAATCATGATTAAAACAACTTGAATTCGATAAAAAAAAAATGGAGGAATAACATACAAGGAAAAACAAAAACTCAATTACCTTACTAATCGATAATCATCATCCTCATTTAAACCTGATGAAGACATGCTAATTGAATACCCCTGATATCAATTCAAATTATAGATAAGTTAATAAATTGTAAATTTACATAATTTAAGACAAAATGTATACACGTATATACCTCAATATCCTCTAATGTAACTGGTGCATCTGATGCAAATTTTACTGTACTTCTAAATTTCTCCTTAGGGCTGCATGATGCAACCGTCAAACACCATCGGGGACTGCTTTCAATGGATCGAAGACCATATTCTCCATAGTTTCCTTCTGCAACTACAACTAATGTATTTTTCCTCAAAGCATCCAAAGATGCTAAAGCCAACTCATCTATCATCTTATCAGAAAATCGTGCAGGAATCTCTCTTATAAGCAATACGGTAACCACATTAGCATTTTTTTTTTATTGCCTTTCTGATTCCCTCAGCTACATTATTAGAATTAATTGCGCTACAAGGACACCCAACTGCGTAGATGGCAATGCGATGACGTGGGCTAGTTCCACCAAGAGTATCCAAATCAATCTCACCTAAAGAAGCACACTCAGTCCTACGGGAGGCAACGAGAGAAGAGCAAAAATAACCGTGTATTTTGAAATATATATATATATATATATATATATATATATATATATATAATTTGTTAATTTATAAATAATCTTGATACTATTTGTTTCATATGGATTTGAATCTAATTATAAAAAACTAGATTTAAGCTCATAAGATATATAATAATTTTAGTATTTATTTTGATCTATGGATCAATATAATATTTTCCTCCAAAACTTGCAACCTTGCCGTCATCCTTGCACTTTTCGCAGTACCTCTTAAGAACTTTATAGTCAACTAACCCACTGTAAATAAGAAAATTTAAAAATTCATTTATCATGCATAGAAAAAATTATTACCAATTGACTATACTAAGCGAAATACGCGTTTACCTATGGTGAGAAAAATCAAGTCATTTTTATCACTTTTTTTTGCTCATCTCTCGACAACCATCGATAATAGCAACAATGGCTTTTGAATATTCAACGTTGGTAGTTGAACTCTCATTGCTTCCAGGTAAATTCCATGAATTCATAGATTTATAATTTAACAATTCACAGTCCTACATAATAAAAGTAATTATAAAGATTAATATATTTAACGTCCAATAATTTCTAAAACACACTCAAATTACACTTTCTAATAAAAGAACTTTGCTTCGTTCTCCATCAAGTTCAGCATTCATATCATGAATTCATATTCAATATAATACAATTTGAAAGATTATTTGTACCTAAATTCGATATGATCAGTAAGGCAAACTGAGGAGTAAGAAGATGAGCACCTATTACATGAAATCTTATCTCATCCATTTCAAAAAAATTGTCACATGTTTAGTTCATTAATATAACAGAAAGACTGAATCTAGCGAAAAGTTATGATGGCATGTAATTGTTGTGATATTGGAAAGGTGAATCACCAACATAATTTATCTAAAATGTTAATATTCCCTCCAATGGGACAAAGGGAGCATTTCCCTTGAGCATTAGACATGTTAATAAGAAAACACACATAGAAGAATATCCAGTAACATTAGAAATACTAGATTACTGACCATATCAAATAGTGCATGCAGACATATATAATCAGTACAGTTGCATGTGTTTCTATGGTTTGGTAATCACTACCTAATAGGTTAAAGATCTTCAGGCTTAGAATCATTGAACTAACTTTATAAGCAAGGGACATATATCATCAACAAATGTTATGGTGGACCCCACCTCCTACTGGCTACCTAAAATTAAATGTTGATGCTTCTGTCTGGCTTACAAGTTACAACAGGAAATGCAGGTATTGCTGGTGCTTGGCATGGTGGTTTCTATATGAGAACCATGTCTAGCTCTGTCCTTGAGGTTAAGGTTGAGGCTGAACTCACTGCCATCTTGGATCCGGAGGGTCTAGAATGGAGCAGGTTGCAAAATTGGAACAACATCATTTTAGTTACTGACAGCAAAACAGGAGCTCAACTCATCCAAAATATTAGTAGCATTCGTTATGAATTAAAACATATCTTATCAAAATGCAGGGACCATCAATCTTAAGTCGAGGCCTCAGGTGTAACTCAGATTTTAATGGTGCTTAAGTAACAAAGTTGCTGACATTGATCCTAGCTAAGGACACTAGAACTAATTGTAATCAACTAGCTCATGTAAATCATTGGGATACCACTTCCCCGGTTTGTATCAACCCTCTAATGCAGCCAAGCAGGACTATGAGGCTTGTCATAGCTGTTGGAAATAATGCAAAGGAAGGTTTCTTATTTTTTGAGGAAAACTCTTTGTCCCACATTGGTGGGATAAGGAAGGTTTACTTGGTTTAAATATGTGTGTTTGTGTTTTGATGTTTGAAGTGATTTCCCTATTGCTGTGGGCTAGAAAGGGGCATCCCCGCGCGCCGCCGTCCGGCTGGTTCGTGTTCGTGGCACGTGCGCGGTGTGGTGGGGCTACCTTTTTGGGCCGAGTTGTAACTGACGTTCCAGTTTTATGAGATCGTTCAGTTACGAAGCCCGCAACGACTTTTGACTCAGTTTTTTAAACGTTTGTAACTGTCCCTGATTTTACTCTCACGATTTATTTTGTGGCTTGATTTTCTCCATCAGTTACGATATTCTTCCTCTATAAAAAAATGATTTCAGTGGCTTTTGAAAACACACAAAAATACTTTCTCCTTTCTCTCTCTCTATTCTTCCAGTTTTCCTCTAAATTTGTTCTAAGCATATTGTGAGTTCCTACTCTCTCTTTTTGAGTGCACGTTAAGAGAGATCGCTATGTTAAATCTTGGGGGGCAACGCCATCTCCGATTACACCATAGTCGGGGCGAATTTTGCTTCTAAGACATTGTTCTAAACACGTCACAACTTCTCACCTACATTAAAATAAATTCGGCCCACATTTCAATCTATATTTTTCTGATTTTACAGTCTGTCTACCTACAATAGCCAGCACAGCTCTTCTACTACTAGTGTGAGCCTTAGCAATAAATTAATTTAAGTAGCTCCTTCTTTTCTATATATGTATATTACATCGTGTAATATTAATTTCATCGCAAAAAGACATTTTTATGGTGTGAAATTGTGCAAAGCCTCAAAAAAGTAGCTAGCTATCCCTCTAAAGCCATAACAGGATTGCAAATTTGCAACACGTTAACAGTTACAAAAACACAATTGGGCCCTGATGACCATGGCCTGAACCGGCAGAAATTCTGGCCCAAAGCCCAACTGGTCATCAGCCCAAGCCCAAACATCCTCATATAATGACTTCTTAGTTTTCTTGCATGGTAACACAGGCCCATCCCGACCCTAACCATTTGACCCAAAATTGTCTTATATTAGCTCCCAACATTAAACTATTCATATCAATCAATCAATCAAAGCCATAATCCCATTAGAGGGGTAAACTATTCATATCTAAAATCTAAATAAAACAAAGGAAATTTTGTAATAAAAAAAAAAATAAATAAAACCTTACAAAAGTTCTATCTTGTGAGAGAGTATCTTATAACTTTTTTTTTCAGATAAAACCTTAAACTTATAAAAAAAAAAAAAATTGCAAGATGAAACCCAGATGAGTTTTCTGACGTTGGCCACAATTATATACCCTAACCAATGTTATTAAAATAATAAACCAAATTTTAAATCCCAATTTTACAGTTTATTTTAAGGTATAGTGTTTGTTTAGTGGAAAATGAAATTGGAATTAAAGGGTTGCTTTATTTAGGGTTAGTTCAATTAATTAGATTATTTATTAAAATCTGCAAGGTCAACACGGAAATAAAAGCAAATAAGACTATGCTAAAACAAAAAAACCCAGAATTTAAACAACAACAAAAAAAAACCCACTAAGCCAAGATATAAGAAAAACACCAACAATCATACTAAAATGAAAGAAAATTTTCAAAATTTTGGTACATTATAAAAAATATGAAAATTATTAAAAAAAAATTGAACCCTAAAGTAGAGAATGAAGTAGAGACTACCAGGTGGGGAAGAAAACCCAGAAAACGGTGAGAATGAAGGGTGAGAAATCTGATTATGTTTTTCTTTTCTTCCTTTTTTTTTTAATTAAGGATAAACCAAGGTGAACATAAATCTAATGAGTACTGAGGGTAGGGGTATGATGACAGTACATGAAATGAGGAGCACAACCACCACTACTCTACTAGGCTAGGCTCTATCCCTCTATTTTCAGTTTTTACTGTAAGAAGACTAAGAATTCTCCCTCCGATCTTGAGTTAGCTGCTTCTATTTTTTATTTTTTTGGACATTTTTTATTTTTTTACTTGTTACATGTCAAGCTAAAACTTTAATCAATAATATCTCAAATTATATACGACAAAAAAAATGTAATAATCAAATATTAATAATCTACTCATTGAGACGATTCTAATGAGTACACACAACACTATTTTTTTTCTTTGTATACTCCCTCCGTTTCATAATAAGTGCAGCACTTTTCTTTTCACGCTTACCAATGCGTTATTTCAATCATTAATACGAGTATCTTTTAGTACTAATACGAATAAATTATAACAATTATACATTAATAAAATACAAAACGAGACGAATCTAACAAGATCTCACATGATTATATTATTCACTAACTACAAATAAATAAAGCTACTCAAAGTGAAATATGTGAATAGTGTAAAAGTCAAAGTGTTGCTTTTATTATGAAAACGGAGGAAGTAATTCTCAAATATTGGTCAAAGTCAGTAAGATGAATAGTGTCATTTTGCCCAATGGGGCACTTAAAAAAACGGAGAGAGTATAATTTATTTTTGGAAACTTTGTTAAAAATAAGCCAACCCTTGGTCAGTCCACTCAAAATAAATTAACTTTTCGATTAACTCATAATAAGTCAACTTTTATATGGTACTTTCTTTAAATAAGTCAAAACTTGATAAATTAAAAGCTAACCTGTTATTAAAGTTAATTGTGACACGTGTCAGCATATGCTTGATAATTTTTCTAATATAAATTAATTATGAATTATTATATAATTAATTGCTTATCACAAATTTTTGTATGTGGGGTGTGGCCAGCCACAATAATATAAGCCGAAAAGTAACCCCCGAATGAAAAGTAACCCCTGACCAAGTAACTCCCAAAAAGTAACCCCTAAGGGTAAGATTATCCCAAGTCTTGAGTTGAGTCTTGGATGAAGTATTAAGCAAGACTTTGCAATAATGTCACTCAAGACCCACAAGAGTCTTGACATGAGTTTGGAAAATCAAAACCCATGTCAAGACTCTTGTTTGCCAATTAAAGAGTGACACCTCATATTTCACCAAC